GAGACCCATGATCAACCAGATTTCAAAGAGCGATCCAAAGCGCGTCCACAGCTCTTTGACGTGCTCAAAGACCAGGATATTATATTGTTCGTCAGTTAAATCTACTTGGCCTGGTAAGGGGTTGCCAATGCGCTTGAAGCCATCTCGGTTGAGAAAGTAGTTGTTGCCAGTGCTGTAGTAATAGCCATATCCCAGGCCGGCTGCCCCCAAGGTGGAGCTAAATTCGGCAATGACGTCGCGCTGAAAGCTTGGGTAGGAACTGCGTGCCACTGCAAAGGGATACTCCGTTCCATTTGGCAAGGTGGTCGAGGTATTCCAGAGTAAAAAGCCGCAGCCGTGTTTGGCGGTGAGGACGGCGTGCTTGGCACCCACAGCCCGGTAGTTTTCAACCCAATTGGAGATGTTTAGCCGTGTGGGGTCAAAAAGGGAGGCGTGTGAGCTATGGACACCCACATTCCAGTTGGTGGGGTTGCAAGCTGGATCGCCGTCCTCCACAAAAGTAGCCATGTTAAAGTGTGTCAACTACCATGCGATCAAGCAACGCCGCCAAGTCAAGACGTAAGCCAGAGCGGGGCAGGTCTTGGGTAAGTGGAGAAAAAGAGTCGTTCAAAAGCAAGCGGCGAACACACAGAAGGCAGGATCTGCAGCGATATTCCTCATGAAAAGATCAAGGTCAATGCAATAGTTTCGGCGTCAAACTTACGCCCATAATCTCATGACGCTGATATGCGGCTTGTTCAGGGGTAGGAACGGGGACTTGGTTCGTGGCGCATGGCATTTTGCTCCATTCGGCGCGACAGGCAGCCTGCGTTTCGTGGCGCTGGACTGTCACGCACCACGGGTCAAGCCAGCCCTCGGCGCCGCGGGGCTGCACTCCAGTGAGCGCTCTGTCACACACGTATTATGTGACGGTGGCCCGGCCCTTTGGACAGGTCTACCCAATCAATCGAGCAAAAGTTGACGCTGAACCACGGCCAAGCCGGCTCGATGGTCATCAATGGCCACAATCTGTGTTTCTTGGGAAGCCACCCAACCATTGAGCTGGGGCAGCTCTGGGAACCAATAGCTTCCCCTGCCCCGTTCATCGAGGACGCAAGGCATATCCGCCGCCGCGCATGGCAACTGTCTGACGAGACACAACGCCAATATCCCCAGCCCAGTAGGAGCGCTTGCACGGGCACTATCCCGCCCATGTTTTTGGTGGCACGGGCAGACAGATCAAACACAAACAAATGCTTCTTCTCCAAATTAAAAAATCAAAAATCAAAAATCAATTGACAAGCAAACAAGAGCAGATGATGAAGACAACCACGATCAAGGACTGCTTCAGGATGGATGGCGGGGAACAGCCACGAGTTGGCAAGAAGACTATCACTTTTGACGTCATGTCACCGCCAATGTGCAACTTGACTTGCGCGTGTATTCATTCAGAGCGCGCAAGACATGGTGGGTAAGTGTGACGGGCCTATGTAATTTTTGCCCCGAGCCGTCACGTGCGTTGCCACTTGATTGTTCTGTCTTGATCAAACAGCTATACGTTTCTGTTGAGAGTGTACGTATCTAAAGGCAAGGTAAGCTTAATGTAACTACAGTTTGTGTATACATAAAAGCAGTTAATGCTGCTGTGCGAAACGAAAGTATGCTTAACGTGCTGGCACGCGCGCAAACCTCAACTGCCAAAAAAAAAACCGCAGAGAGGATGAAGTTGAGCGGTTTTTTTTGCCAAGAGGCAGCAATCGTCCAGCAGGTTCATGCTTCGGAGGGTGGGGCGGGGGCTTGGTTAGGGTTAGGGTTAGGGTGCTGATAAGTCGAGGCTGGCCCATGGTCACCGATAGACAGCTCAGCCATTTGAACAACCCTATCAGCACTCCCTTTCACGTTTCAGTAGATCAAGATGGTGGCACTGCCGGTGCCTATTTTGGCGTAATTTTCAATGGTTTTTTGATCATTTTTGGCCCTGAAGCAGCCTGAACGTTTTGCTGTTGTTATCCTGTTGATGCCAGCTGTGGCTGCCGTGCGGGTGATGCTAGCAGGTACACGTGTGCCATGATGGGCCCTGCCGTTTTTCAATCCCATTCTAGATGTGCTTGCCGGGTGACAGCGGGTACTCGGAAATTCACAAGGATGACATGATGACCTGCGTTAAAAAAGACAAGAAACGGTGCTGAGATCGGCCCGATGGGGATTGGGATGGGTTTCTGATTACTCCCGGATGATGGAATGCTTGAAAACCCCCAAAAAGAGGGTCAGTTAGACAAGAGCATCAGACCGAGTGAACAGGGCATCAACGGTACAGTATGCTCTCGCTTCCCAGTACAACAACCGCGCCCAATGCCTAATCCAAACCAGTCTGGCTGCCATTTGTCAAAGCAAGCACCTCTTGTCCCTCTCTCTCTGTTATCGCACCGAAAGGTAAAGAATTAGAACAGAACAGAAGAAAATCAATGTCGTGTTTCACCATTATTTTTCCTCCCAAGACGACGGGGTTTGTCAGGCTCCAGCACGTCTGGAGGCCGTCTTTGGGTTGCGAGGAAGCGCGTAGGTTTGAGGAAGCGTTTTGAGAGAGGTTTGAGAGACGTCCGTCGGAGCGGAGCGAAAGCTTTGGTGGTGTCTTGAGGTCAATTGAACCAGCTGCGGTCGGCAAGCATTCACAGTGACCAGACCAGGTGCACCGTTAGAATAGCTGTAGAGTCGCTCAATCCCGAGGATAGGGAAAGTCACAAGAGAGCAGAGCACACAGGAGAGCAAGGGGAAGACAGAATGGCAGAGGGCTTGACGTACCTGCGGTCGGCAAGCATTCACAGTGACCAGACCAGGTGCACCGTTAGAATAGCTGTAGAGTCGCTCAATCCCGAGGATAGGGAAAGTGCAACTCGTGCCCGACCGCAGGTGTCACAACAAAGGGAAACAACAGTAGCCACAAGCTTATTGCCCCAGGGCAGCTGCCCAGGCATCGTGGGGACCGCGTCACACGCGGTGTTTACTCATGTGACTGCCACGAGGAGGATCAAGCCCAGGGGGTCCAAAAGTAGGTGTCAATGTGTGAGGTCGTCGTAGCTATGGAATACCAATAGGAAGACCCATAGCGACCGATGCTGAGTGTGTGCGAAAGCAGTGGGAGTGTTCAAATGCGTGGAAGCACGGATTTGACGCTAACANCCCCCCTCGCCAGCCGGAGCCCCGATCCGGCGAGGATGGTTCAAAGACAAACGGAAGAAATGGCGAAGGCACGCTGAGAACAAAA